AGTAAATAATAATGCTGAGTTTTATTTATAATGACGACAAACACGAGTTCCAGTACAACAGGTCGGAAAACTTAATGGAGTTTGCTCCGGCCAAGTTAGCCATCGTTAGCAATACCTTGATAACAACGTATTACGCCTGTATTCTGCACATACAAACAACGAATATCCAAATGTAGAAGTTCGACAGTACTGTATCTACGACAGATTTAATGAGACACAAATAAGACAGAAGTGATAATAAAAAGTATATTACTACTTACTTTACTGATGAAGGAGCAGCCATCTTGGATTTGGAGGTAGGTGGTTGGTGAGGTTTCCAAGCTGAAAATCCGATTTCAGGCGGCATCCAATTTGGAATTTGAGTCTGGGAACTCATAAATTCCAACTTCCCGGTTCAATTGGAACGCAGCAGAAGCTATCACCAACAGACACTTAGCTTAGCTTAGCATTAAGAACGGAAACAGATACAAAGAAGGCTCTGTCTAAAGGTAATAAAATCTGCAACTAATTGAATGTATAACAAATAAGTTGGCCAGGCGCAGTAACTTATGGAGTAACAGTATGGAGTCTCATCAACACCATCTGGTCGCCATTGCACACTCAAAGACTGAAGAGGTCACAGTGCCCGTCCAAGAAATAATCTGTGACAATTTAACGTTTTTACATTTTGTTTAAACAAATGAGAAACAACATTTCAATTAGTGAGGCGGTGGTTTGTTTGCTGTCTCACCCGTTTCCATACTTTCTGCTTTCAAAGCTAACCGGCTGCTGGCTGAAGCTTCATAGTTAGCATGCAGATATGATAGTGATATAAATTTACTCAGGCAAATAAGCACATTTCCCCAAAATATCAAAATGTTCCTTTAACAGACAGATGATACAGATTTTTTTCACATTTTCCACGTTGTTGAGCGAGAAAAACTCCTGAGGGCCTTACAAAGAATCACCACGAACAAAAGGAAAAAAAGTCAATGTGTCATTATGTGACTAAAGCAATTAAAATCAACTGGTAGAACCAGTGGCTTTTGACTAATGAGGTAAAATGCTTGTTGCCAGCAATGCTGACTGAGACATCTTCCTCTAATAACAATTACAAAGTTGGTTTCCTCTCTTTGCAGGCCAAGAGAGCTTGGTGGTCAACCTAAAACACAGCTCAGCGAAACTTGTGGGATTCAATTTCAGTGATGCCATGGTGGATTGTCATAAACACAGCTGGAAGCGAGCGGAGAGAAAACTCACGAATAAGCAGAAAAGGACTAAACAATCATCTATCTGCCGTATGGAAACGGCATAGCCGGGGTCAAACGCAGGGACTCGCCAGCTTGAGAGTGAAAACTGGTGAGAGGTTTACATAGAAAATGAGGATGTTTGTCTTTGCATATAGACACAACTGACCTCCACATATGCTCGGCTTAAGTCTAATCAAAAATGGCCCGGAATAGCAGCATCTTCCTGTGTTTATCTGTGCCAGAAAAATCCCCACTTACTTTAGCTACGTCAACCAACAAGGTTTTTATTTCCCCGCCTCCGGATTTTTATGAAAAATATCTACTTGGGAGTAGAATCAAAAAATAAATCTTTGTTTTAAAAGGGAAATAAATGAGTGTCTGGCTTCGACACAAACAACAAACTTCAAGTGTGTTTTCCTTGTAAAAACATGAGGCCTGGATCAGAGCAAAACACTGGCAAGAGAGTTTGCCATTCGACAAACCGACTACATAAAGCATTCGGTATGTAAATGTCAAAAAAAAGGAAAAAAAGAAAACACAAATATATGAGAAGCAGAAGAAACGGTGGAGCCATGCTCTCGCTCGGGTCTGAACTTAAGGTTGTGGACGCAATCGGATCTGAAATTCGAATGCTTTGACTGAGAGGCTTTTTGAGTGCTGTTGGATAAGAGAAGAAGGGACACCAAACATGCAGACAGAGGAGCTGGAGACCCGTAGACTACAGCGGGGCAGAGTTAGGTACAGTAAATCTGTTCCTGATGGAAATACATGGAAGCAATGGAAAAGAAACACATCCAACATTAACGTGTGTTCTTCCCATTTCCCCTCATTAGGAGCTCGAAGTGAGGTCGCTGCCCGGCACACAGCTGCACATGAAACAGGGTGGCAAGAAAAGCAACAAAAGGGCCGGCTATTTCTGGGCGTCCCATAAAGCTCTGGCAGCCACAACAGTACTGGACACTACATTAGACTCCCTGTGTTTCTCTCTTTTTAAACTTGGGGCTCTGGTGTAGCATGTTTTTCTAATCACGTAGGGATCCTCTCTCTCTCTCTCTCTCTCTCTAATACACAAACAAATATCATGACCTCGGGGTAACTTTCAAAGTCAAGACATCAAACATTTCCTAAATGAGGAATGACCACACCTTTATGTGACTGCTAATTTATGCTCAACGCCTCGTCCTAGATGTTCCTTCCTCAAGACTTTCCTGGCGTAAGAAAATAAGAGTCAAAGCCCACCATGTGAGTCTATATTCAAACCGTCTAAAAAGCATTAACAAGTGATTATCATGAGTGAATTAGAGAGGTGTGATTTCTTTCTACTGTCCTTGTGGACTAACTTTAAACAGAGAGGCCGTGTATTTTTGAAGCTGTTAGCGAGAGGTGAAAATCTCATTTTGAGGTGTGATTTTGTGTAACAACTCAGAGCGGTTTTCGTGTGAATTGAAACCAAACGGGCTCTTGTAATGTTTTGAGTTTTTTTTTTGTTTTTTTCCCATCATAGGAGGATACATGACTCATCAGCCCCTGTGTCCCCAAAAGGAAAAGCAGTCAATCACCTCAGGATTACTTACTGAAACAGCTCATCAGTCACTGACAAAACAGCAGCCGGACAACGAGTAAAGGACACGACAAGCGGGCTATCATGACAAAAGCAGGAGTGACTTGACTTCCTTTCTGCAAGAACATGAACGTCACAGGGAAAAACCCGAGCCAGGAGTGTTGGACAGAACAACCCCCCCCCCTCACACACACACACCCCAGGCAGTGTGTGTGGGTAGTGTGGCTCGTGGCCCGAGGGGGTAAAGAGGCAGTGACGGAGCAGATCTCCACTGCGGGAAGACAGAAAAGACAGCAGAGGAGTCCTACTGTCGTGTCTTTGTGTGTTAACTAACCAGAGGCGGCACATTGGGGAGCCTGTCACGGTGTCACTGCAGAGGGGGGGGATAGAGGAGCAGTTCAACCACGGTTATCACTTTGGGTGGGCCTTCGCCTTCGGGGGAGCAAGTCAGGGAGCAGCAGCACTGGTCCATGATGACCGGGCAGACACTTACAAAGGGGGACGATCCCAGACAAGCAGGTGTGGTGGAGGTGCGGAGCTGTTGAAGCTAAAATAAGAACAGTTCAGTGGAAGAAAACAAAACTATTTTGAAAAAGACCACCAAGGAAGAGCAAGCGCTCAATAACATGACGTGGCCATATGTAGTAAAACCCCCCATTAATTGCTACCTGCAGTGGAAATGAGTAAGTCGTTAATTATGTGTGTGTGAAATTTTGTCTGCACGTCACAGCTCCGCCCCTGTGTGTCAATTCCTACCAGTGACCTCATCTGTATTTTTTCTCAAGGATATCCCCCCTCCTCTCTAGGCACAATGAGGCAGCTTCCTGTTTAGAGAAAGGCCGAGTCCGGCCATACCATACGTAACTTCCCCGTCGATTCGGCCGGCACGCCAGCAGTGGAAATGTGCATTGTTTTTGCTTTTTTTCTGTGTTGTTGTTGTTGTTGTTGTTGTTGCTGCTAATTTCCTGGAGAATTCCTTTAAAAAAATTGCTTTACATTTGAGTAGGAACTTGGATTGAGAAAAGCAGCGACACACGCTCGTGGAAAGCAGTAATCTAAGGCTGGCGGGTGAAGAAATAGCAGGTTTGGTGATAAGACTTTGGCTGTGATGTGGATCTCTCCTCCAGCTGTGTTTGCTAATGTGATTGTGGATTTCAGTGGAGACTGTAAGGAGATAGAAAGGGTGTTTAAAAATCATTAGTAACTTGTTTAGCACTTTTCACACCATGAATCAGTTAAGAAGGAAGTCAGATAATCACAATCCAGAGCTTTGAGTAGTAAAGGCTGGCTGCGTTAAGGTCCCTTCACTCAACAGTGTCACTGTTAAACTGAACTCTGAGGACGTAGGAGCACGACTTTGTTTACAGCACAACTATAGAAACTAATCGTGGTCTCATACGAAACTGAGAATGAACTTTTCAGTGCAGCAGGAGACATCTTGAGTTCATCTGTAGTCACTTTTAAAATGAAATATATCTGATTCTGGGAGGACGAGAAGATTTCCTTTAAGTTTTCTTTTTAACGAGGCAGTTGAAGTTTTTGTTCACTATTATTCAAAGCAGAGCATATTTATCTCTCACACGTCTGAAGTGGGGAAAAGATCTACAAATGGCACGTCTGCCAAAAAAATAATGTTTTTTTTAAAAATAAATAAAAAGTGAGCTGAAAGATAATTACAGATGACGCCTATCTGAGTTACTTATGCTCTGAAATCTGGGGTTCCTGGCCCGCAAAGCGGATTCAGCTGCACCTGCCTCGCAAATTGCTATTTTTCCACTGACAAGTTAACTTGTGGTTTTTAGTTTAGAGTTTGATTCTGAGTGTGATGTTTCTCATGTATGGACTGTGTGTGGGAGAGAGGGAGAGAGAGAGGGAGAGAGAGAGAGAGAGAGAGAGAGAGAGAGAGAGAGATTTCCACATAATCTGACAAACCTGAAGAGCAACATATAATTACACTGCAGGAGCATATTGAACACGCACACATACAAGAGGGGCTACACTCATTTAAACAGTACCTGTGGGATGGAAATCTCACTTTCTTCCTCTTATTCAACACAATCTGTCATCGATCTCTAATTCCTCCTGAGGGCAAATCAGTTAAAAAAAAAAAAAAAAAAGAAACTCCAGGAGTCAGGGAAGGAGGGAGGGAAATCGTTGAAGTTAGACAACATCATAGACCAAACCCACTGCGTGTTCAGTCCTGCCCTGCTTTGCTCTGCTCCACACATCGCACTCTCATGTGGCTGTGGCGCAGTGATCCACTCAAGACCGCGTCCTCCTCGTCTCCGGCTGTGGGATCACTACTTCTGCCGCTGCTGTTGAGGGTTCCACTGGATATTTACACGTATTTTCTGCAGGTGCGTTTCTTAAAAGTTATACGTTTTAACCATGTTGTGTCCGGTATGATGCGTAAAGGGTCGTGAACCGCGTCCGTGCTGCTCGGGGATGTAATTATATTTTATATTTAGGACTTTTCTGTGCGCTAGAGGTCATTTTTTAACTCTTGCGGCATCATTAACGTGGATATTTATTTGACTTTATACTGCATACAGAGCCGCAGATTTGATTTTGTTGTATGCATACCAATTAGGCTACAACAGGATTTATATGTAGAGTAATGATTCATCAGTAAACTACATCTAATTGTCTGCGAGTTAAATTAGTCAATTCGGACAAATAAAGCGTATTTACGCGTTATGACACACAAATAGCTCCGAATTAATTTGTATTAATTGTGTCCCACACGATTAATACTGGAAACAAAAAGTGGGTTTAAATTTCGATTGGCAGGAAAACACTGGCACTAAGTTGAAGCAAAAATAATAATTAAAACTTTGCTTGGGATTTTGAAAGTGTTTTTCTGAATTTACCCTCATTGTCGCCTAAAGTTATTACTTCAAGTGGTCATGCAGTAATAACCCCCCCTATTTATCATGTAGACATCATCGCTATTAGAAGTGTAATCCTCTGCATGTATTCTGGATATTAGAGATTGTTTTGCACATTAATCCAATAATTATGTCGTTTATTTGTTTGTCATCGGCACTAACGCTCTCCTCCTCTTGTGTCTCATGCAGGTTAGCTCTCATCGCCTCCTAGTGGGCAGCCCGGGCATTACAACAAAAAAGAGGTGATTTTTGGAGGAGAAAACCACAGGAAATCCTATTTGATAGCATTTAAACGGAACACGTTTTCCTCTGCGTCGAACAGCTTTTTGAATAACCAAAAGAAGAATGCACAACCAGAGGACTGTATGACACCTTGGATCTAATCTTGAAATTCAAAAAAAAAGGTGAAGAAAAGAAGTTGGAAAAAAGCATCTACTTGTGGAAGTACCAAAAACAATGGCCACAGAGTCTTTCCATGCTGCCTATGCTGTTGTGGCCCCATCCGCCATCCCCATGTCCCCCTCCTCAGGAAACCTGCTCCACATGTTCCGCGAGTACCAGAGCAACTCGGTCATCTTGGAGCACTACAACTTCACGGGCAAGCTGCAGGACAACAAGTACAAGGAGGGACTCAAACCCGAGGCCATCGCTTTCCTGCTGGTCTGCCTGCTCATTGTCGCCGAGAACGCCGTGGTGCTTCTGGCCATCTGGAAGAACAAGAAATTCCATGTGCCCATGTACTACCTACTGGGCAACCTGACTCTCTCTGACCTGCTGGCGGGCTTCACCTACATGGTGAACATCATAACATCCGGCCCCAACACGATGAGCTTGACCCCGGTGCTGTGGTTCCTGCGGGAGGGCGGCGTGTTCATCATGCTGGCCGCCTCGGTCATCAGCCTGCTGGCCATCGCCATCGAGCGCCACGTCACCATGGTGAGGATGAAGCCGTACCAGGGGGACAAGCAGGGCCGGATGTTCGCCCTGATCGGAGCCAGCTGGGTGCTGTCCGTGTTCCTGGGCATCCTGCCCGTCCTGGGCTGGAACTGCATGGGACACCTAGACCAGTGCTCCACGGTGCTCCCGCTCTACGCCAAGAGCTACATCCTCTTCTGCATCACCGTGTTCAGCGCCATCCTCATGTCCATCGTGGTGCTGTACGTCCGCATCTTCCGCATCGTCAAGTCCAACACCCAGCACCTGGCCTCGGTCCCACAGCGCAAGGGCCTCTACCGCAAGTCCCAGAAGTACATGGCCCTGCTGAAGACGGTCACCATAGTCCTGGGGGTCTTCATCGCGTGCTGGCTGCCCCTCTTCATCCTCCTGCTGCTGGACTTCTGCTGCCCAGCCAACAGCTGCTGGGTGCTCTTCAAGGCGGACTATTTCCTGGGCATCGCCATGTTCAACTCCCTCCTCAACCCCATCATCTACACCCTGACCAGCAAGGACATGAGGAGGGCCATCCTCAGGCTGCTCTGCCAACACTGCCTGCTGACTAAAGACGGGCAGGTGAAGAAGATCGGGATGCCCTTCCTGGAGTGCAGCACCAGCAAGACCGACGCGGCCTCCCACCGACTGGAGGGACTGGATACGACAGTGTCCTCTGGGAACTTCACGACGCCCTCGACCATCAAAGCCATTTACCCCCGGATGTCTAAAGCATGACACAGCGGACCTCTTGAGAGGAAGCATTCGGACTGAGACTTCCCTCTAGACGGAGTCGCGCTCCGGTCGAGTGAACATTTTGTGTCAGGAGCTGAAGTTTTTTGGGTTGCACTCTGCTTTGGTATTAAGCTGAATAAGCTCGATGTGATGTGTGATTGAAGTTTTGGGAGAAAGACTAACTTTTAAAGTTTTCTATAGTCACGAAAAACTGAAAGGTCAGCGCCTTAATAGTAGGGGGCAGTTTCTTGTGAAAAACTAGCATTACTTTTAGTTTTTTCCTTCTGGAAAACATTTCATTTTTTTTATCAGTGTCAGTTTCCCACATGAAACGAAATCAAAGGAACGTGCGTGCAGACGTTTTCACATAAATACGAACCAATCGTGCCACACATCTGACAGACCGAGGCCAAAGCCCAAGGCGGGAGGTTTCCCCTTATCTCCTCTCCCTGCGTAGCGTTGTAATGATACGTTGTTACGAACACGGAGCGTCCACGCCCAAAATCTGCTGCCAAACCCATGTAATTTCTGCCATGCGAGTTTTGGTCAGCAGCAGTGCGGTCCCCCCCACACCCCCCTCGGCCCCAGATCAGAGGCTCGGCGGCCCTGGGGCCCGCTGAAGACGTCATGCGGAATGGCCGGTTTGCAGCTTTGGAGGTCCCCCTCAACATATGTAGCGACATACGATGAAGGACTAGAAGGCAATAAAGCCCGACATGGGGGGGGCTCGTTGGAGCCTTCTTGGTTTCAATAGAATATGGCGGTGATCCGTCGAGTGGACGAACAAAGGTTGTTTTTCTCGCTGGAGAACGTTCACCATGAAATGATACGAATCTGTTTTCTTCGTGATGAGCGCAGATATAGTCAGAGTGCGTGGGCTTCAAAGTGCTGTCTGGCGGAATTTCAATTGTGGTCACGAAACATTAAAATTGATACTTAGATGCCAACTGTAATATTGTGTATAAATGTAAAGAGAAAAAAACAACATATATTAACTGATTTGTATACTTTGTAAATATATATATACTTTTCTGAGCTTATCAGAGCTGCATTTTGTATTGTAAAAAACCTCTCTTAAGTTATGTCACTTTTTTTAATATGTGCACTGAATAAAACATATGTGAATGAAGTTCACATGGAGCCTCGTGTATATTCTTTACTGCTACGAGTGGCCTTTATGTCAGTGGTTCATGTCAGAGATGTCAGCTCTCTCACCGAGCGACATGCTTCCCGTTACTTACTGCTGAACAAAACGTGAAATATATATATGCAGTAATCACTGTTGTGGTTATAAATACTGAGTAGAATAAACTGCAGAAAAATCCAAATAATATAAATGACATTAAAATAGATAAAGTACATCTATTCGTACATTCAGACAAAAAAAGGTTGTGTGTGATATCACCTCATGATATCTTAGTTACTGCTCGCTTACATGAAACAAAATGCTCTGCAGATACCGACACTACGTGAGCTGTTAAGAGATGTGAATCTGCCTCATCATTTTAACATAAAGAGATGGACTTGTATTAATGTATAAGTACAATGTGGATAAACACTAAGTGAGCAGAACCCCTGCAGTAAAAGAAAAAGGTGAAAAGTTTGTTGACAGTCTTGATTCAACTCAATGAGGGTTTCAGAATATGGTTGCACCACAGCTTACTGAGGCCAACCTTCAGTTATACCACGTCACAAGTTAGCTGATGTTTAGTACTAGAAGTAAAGTAAGTAAAGTATCAATACTGAAACTAGTCAAATCCAAGTGATAGCCATGTGCGATGTTACGATGTTGAATATTAACGTGAAATAAAGTACAAAGGTTATTGAAACACGAGGGACTTCTACAAGAGAGATGAAAGGAAAGTAGAGACTGACAACAGGCTTGACTTAAGAAAACCCCTCCTTCCGCTCCAACCACGTGTTACCCGCTCGGTAAGATGTGCGATGCGTGTGGCTGAGGTTTAGACGAGGCTGTAGGAGCAGCTAGCCGTCGCCCCGTTTACCGTAAGGAAACCACACGTCGGTGCGTGGGCCTTCAGAGCTATGGTACGTGTGAGAACGAGCCACCCCGACACAGCATGTTGTCCTGCCCACTCCCGAAAACCAAAAAGCACCACGCTGCAAGTGGTGCACAGTGGTGAGAGTGACTCCTTTTCAAAGAAGGAAGGAGTTTCAGTTCTCGGTAGAGCGGGCCTACGGGTAAACTATACGACGCACGGTGTTTCACCAAAGTGGGCACGACCAGTGATGCCTGGATAGATTTCAGCATTTGGTCTCATTGCGGATATATTATCGTGCCTCTCTGTTTTGCTAACTCATCACTATCATGCCTGGATTTTGACACATCATAGTGGAACACTTAAAGGTGTGTATGGAAATAACTATATATATATATATATATATATAGTTATATCCAGATATTTGTGTGAGGGCCGATAATAAACAACAGTGAAAAGGGCTAACAAATCTGTGTGTGCGTTTCCTTCAGTACATTTATAATCAGTCAGCCGCTTATCAATCTGAGTCCGTTGTCACCACATGTTGCAGCTGACAAGCAGGGAGAGCAGTTGAAAAAGCCCCCTAAAAGTGAACAAATGACTGAAATGGATAACTGAAAGTAAGGCTGAAATTGATTTAAGTGATGAATAAACATGTAAAATAGCTGATGGTGTTGTTGAAATAGGTGAAACAATGAAAAAGCAGTTGCCTAGTGAGCTAAATGTTTGGATAGCTCCTGCCTGTGGTGGTGCAAAGGCAACCTAAACAATGACAGTTCAACTGTATGAAAAATAGATAATATCCACATTGTATGTAATTTAAAGTGATAAACACACAGTTTGTAAGCCATTAATGAGAAGACACTTGGAGCGGGACTGGTGGTGGAATGATAAAACCAGTAGTGAACCACTGGTTTAAACTATAGTAAACTAGTCTGACTAATCCACCTACATGCCTCTTCTAAAGCTTTTAACAGCATCTCAGTTTTCCTCATCTTGTAACCCAATTATGGAACAAAACTCTTATTAAAAAAAAAAAAAAAAAACTGCATAAAAAGCAGTCCATCACTGCAAAACCATGTAGGTGCTTACAAAAACACAACAAGGTAGTTCTGCAGCGATATCTAGTGGCCCACACCCCACCCAGCCTCGTCCAAGACTACAAAAGGTTCCGACGAGTCCCTGTTGCTCAAAAAACACTTAGAGAATAACTACTAAAGACATATTTCATTTTTTTTTTTAAACAGTATATGTTTTGTATAGGACAGAAGAAAACAAATACATTTACAGACAAAACATAAATAACGTACACATCATTTCTGACAACACGGCCGTCCTTCGGCTACCACTCGGTGCTGACGAAGCCCCACAGCTGGTCGCTCACGTCACTCCGAGATCGCGTGGAGGTGTCGATGTTGATGGGGGTCGCCAGGTCTGCCCCGTAGTGCACTGCAGGAGGAGAAGACAGACTGACGACCTGGAGGCAGCTTCAGGTACAGGCGGGGAAAAAAATGACAGACAGAAAACGAAAGCGTACCTCCTTTCAGGACATTGGGCTGTGTGTCGTATTCCCACTTGATCTTGGTGATGAGGTAGTACACCTGAGCCACATATCTGTGGACAAAATATACTGTACATCAAACAACTTGCAACTGCCGTCACATCAAAGCAGTGTAGTGAAACAATTCAAAGTTAAAAATAGTCAGTTTTCATTGGTGTATAATCACCTGGAACTTAGAATTGATGTATTTTGGTCAGCTTAGAATGAGCCCTTCATATCTACACAGGCAGCTGGTTTCACAGAGGCCTCCATGTTTCTACAGCAGCCCAGAGCGGACAAACCAAACACTGGCTCTAGAGAGAGCCTTTTACTTTTTAGCGTTAACCGAAGGCCACCGTAGTTCTTCGAAACTGCTGCCACGTCAGCCGCAGAGTGAAAAAAAAGTGTATCGCCCAGCCCCCATGTCGCTCCTAAAGAAGTTGTTGTTATGGTGAAGGTGGATGTCCTGATTGAGGCCAACGGCGTTGCCACGTTTTTCGCACTCTGCATCTCACGTTACGGCAGAATTGGAAAGGGCCGAGTGAGCGGCGGGGTACTCGGTTGATTCCACACACTGTCCCTTTAACGTCAGGATTTATTTTTCAAAAAGACGGTTGCTCAATATTTTATGTGCCAACTAATTTTCTGTGTCTGTGGAGGAGTAGTTCACTGCTGTCTACAGGAGTAATACACGTTTTATGATGATTTGACGACATGAACTTAAGGGCTGCAACCAACTATTGTTTTTATTATCCATTTTCTTAATTAACGGATTAACAGTTTTGTCTACAAAATAGTGAAAAATGTCCATTATATGATGTCACCAGATCTGAATGTAATGTCTTTAAATGTCTTGTTTTGTCCGACAAAGAAATTCAGTTCACAATGATATGTGATGGACAAAAGCAGCAAACATTTAGAAGATATGTGCCAGTTCATTCTCTGCTGATCATCGGATTGTTTCAGCTCTAAGCCTCTCATACAGCCAACAGCTACTTTCAAAGCATACACGTGTAGAAACATCCCATTAACTAGAAAATCAGGTCACTGTATTTACAATTTTTTTTTTTTGTTTACGACTTTTCCGAATCATTCTTCTGGTAAATAAACTGTTTAAAAAAATTCAGTCCCAGGGTGGGGAAATTGTTACATCGTGGCACAAAAACAGTTTCAATCGATTAGATACTGGAACTATTGAACAGAAGGTACAGCTAAAATAACTTATACGAGTAAAACTTTAAATTTCTAAAGTCCTCATGATTTCTATCCAACGGCGTATGAAGAAAGGGGACACAACAGCGTGTGACATCCCTCGTACATAATATCCCAGCAGAAAATAAATATGAATACAACATTTTTCAAAGTCAGAAGCACACTAAAATGTGCAGAGGGAAATATAAAATGTTAGAATCTCTTGTGGGTTCGTTTTAATTGTATACATGGGGACTGAAGGTAGCAACAGCAGTGATGACGACTCCTTTGACAAGAGACCCTTTCATTAATAATTCATATCTGAGACTCACATTGCTGAAGGGATGACCTCGGTCGTGTCTTCGTCCACCTCGCTCTGAAGAGTCTCAAGCTCGTGCTCGGTGTTTCTCAGACTCTCCAACTCTCTCTGCAGAAATCTGGAGGAGGATTAAGGACGCCAACAAAGAAAAGAAAGGGGCAAATAAAGCAAGACAGAATTCATAGTGACGCTGAACAGATTTGGACTCTTTTCATTGCATTTATAAAAAGATACTGTAATTCTGAGTCGCTCATCTGGCTCTTGGCGGTGGCCTGCCTCAGCTGTTCCCCCAGGCTCTCCAGCTCCCTCTCCCTTCTGGTCTTCTCCTCCTCCATGTCCACCAGCATCTGGCCCGTCCTCTCCTCAATCTGAGCCACATCTGGGGGACGGAGGACGGAGACAGAGAGATAACAGAGGAGTGAAAGATGGAGAGAACATTGCAGATGGAAATCAGAAGGACTGGATCCAAGTCTGAAACATTTGTATTATTAGTTGGAAAGTTAAATGGATGCAGATAAAGTGTAAATTCATAATTGTTGCTGATGTTAGATTATATCCAGGATCACACGATCTCATATATACTGTAAGTGAGATATAATGTCCAATTATTTATTTGGCAGCAATAATACATAAAGTAGAGCACATTGACAGCTGAGACACAATAGAGCATTGAATGTCCGATCACTTGCCTTTTAAAATCTGTGTCACAATCTTTTTAGTTTCTAAGTGATGGTCAAAAAGAGCCAGATGTTCATCTTTCACTTGTCTCAGTGTCTCCGGTTGGCTGCTGTTGATGAAGGCCACCAGCACCTCCCCCGTCTCCTCCAAGTCCTGGAATTTATGCCCTTGAGCCATTGTGGTGACGCCTGCAGCTAGGAAGCACACAAGAGGAGAGATCCTACTGAAAAACAAACGCTGTGTGTGTTTCTATGAAGGGGCACTGAGTGAGACGTCATCAAGGCTTAACAGTTTCATATCGTCATCAGCAATAAACAACCAAACATAAACAGCAGAGCCCCCAGTGGTACATTGGAAGTATAAAAAATACTCAAGTTAAGTGTTGACTTCTTGATTGATATTTTATATAAAGCCTGGTAGTTTGAACTAACAAAAAAAGCATAGTAATATTTTAGTATACTAACATCAAGTTACAAAACGTATCTTTAACTTAAGATAAATTAACTTAAATCCAACAAAAAGTGATTTCCGTGTTGTACCACAAAACTGCACTTGAAAAACATTTATTTTTAACGTTAAATGTAGCGTTATATTACGTTCCAACACTGACCCCTATGCTGGATCTTTGATCTAACAGTGAAAGCAACATAGACAGGTAGAGAACACATCGGCTAAAATGCATGAAACCCTCGCTGTGTGTTTGTTTATCTTGTTTACAACTAACGTTATAGTTAAACGAGCAGTGTAAACGTTAGCTCCGCGGCTAGCTTAGCTATGATAACATGCTACTGACATGCAATACAAGTTACAAACAATAACGTCGACGCTATAAGTAACTAGTGAGCACAATGTTTATGAGGAAAAGATAAGCTATTACGTTAAAGTCAGACAGAAAAAGTACCGTACAGCTCTTTCCCGTGATGATTCAAATTCAGATCCTGAGCGCGCCTCTTCTTCTTCTTCTTCTTTGGTCATTGGCGGACGCTCATACCGCCACCTACTGTACAGGAAGTAGCTGTCCTATTGTAACGGTTCATGTAGTACTAAGACAGTTTTCCTTTTCTAGCTTGACATTTAAAACAAAGTGGTTATTTTATCTGCAGATTGTATAGTTTAGATTAAGAATACTCCATTTTTTATAGAGTAAAATAATTCAATATTTAATTTCTTTAATGAGTCAACTTTAAGTTTCCACATTGTGTAGAAATATCTATGAATAATATATAAACAAAATGCTGAACATAGCAGTAGAAGGTTAGCACCACCAGTGTGAATAGTTTCTCAGTCTTTCCCTGGAAACATCTGTTAAGGCACACCGCCTCTTATTGTGACATTAAACATGGCTTTCCTTTAAATTTGGAAGCATAATCACAGATTCTGATTTATGATCCAGGTAGCACTCGAATCTTAAAATGTTCAGTGTAGTCCAAACACAGGTACAACTTTTACGCTGTGGTGTTTAAGTCATGAACTTATTTTTGCATAAGAATTTAATGAAACAATTATACTCATGTACTGTTCCAAGTTTATTGCTTTCAACCACCTGGTTGAATACATGTAGAACAGTTTATTCACACACCTGCACAAGGATCAGACGACCAATGATTTTGCTGATGTGGATTCAATTTGATAGAATAAAATAGACATCTGTTTATTACAATCTAAACACAATATGAATGTAGCAGGAGAAATAGGTCGAATGTATCAATCCCATAATCTATTTTATTGCATACTCAACTAAGTATAAACAACTTTAGGTAAAAATTAGAGTCACCAATTTAACATTTAAAACTTTTTAATAAAAAAAAAAAAAAATAAAGTAAATTTGAGGCTGTAATACAACAAAGTACATTTCTATAATGTGTTTAATTCTCAGACCATAAACATCTATAGATTGTATTGTCGGCAGTTATCTCAGAGATGGTGCTCACGCCTTGTTTTTCTGCTTCTCCATCTTCAGCTGTTCTTTTCGTTTCTGTCTGCCGAGCTGTCTGAAGAACAGTCTCTTGGGGTTCAGCCCGTAGGCCTTCAGTCTCTGTCTGCTGAACTCCCGGCCGCCTATCTTCACCCCGTGGCTTCCCAATACGAGGTGTCCACCGGTGTGGCTGTGCTGCTTCTTGGACCATTTTGGCCTCTCAGTCCTGTTTTTCACCTCAGCAGCTTTGTCTGCTGCCTCCACAGCAGTAACCACCATCTGGACTTCCTCTTCCACCTTTTTCTTGGGTATCAGAATCTCTTCCTCCTCCTCCTCCTCCTCCCCTGCCTCTCTGAGAGCTTGTGCTATTGTCTCTCCTGTAGAGTCCGTGATGGAGGTGGCGTCTCCGTCCTCTGCTGCTCCGTCTTGCTTCTCGGCGTCCTTCAGATGATCGCGCCGCTTCTTCCCCACCTTGTTCTTACCGTCTGCCAGCTCTTTAGCTTCCCTGTAGATTAAATTCAGATAAAAAAAAAAACGTTACTTACTGCTCCAGTAATGGTGGATTTCTCATGAGGGGGTGCAGCTGATAGCACTATACTCACTCAGAATACATAGAACTCAGGATCTCCTTCTTCCTCTTTTCATTCTGGGCCTTGATTTGATAGTTCTTCAAATCACTCATCTCCTCCTTGTCGGACCTGAGACAAAAAATGAAAAAAAAAAAAAAAAAATGGTCTTAGTGTCGGAGAAAATGAGCCGAACAGAGGGGCCACTTTAACATTTAGGACAGAGCCAGTACCTGAACATGCAGGTCTTCTTCAGAGAGCACCACTGGTTCAGCTCCTTATCGTTGGCGGTTAAAATCTGAGGGAAGAACCAGAGTATTTCATTTAGTTCAAAACAACTCAGTCCGTAACACCTCCGGTCATCATTTCTAACACCAACACAGGCGTAGCCTTCTTAGAGTGTACGTCTGTGTCACAAGTGTTCACGTTGGCCGCTGTGTGGTCTGCTCAGAGAGAAGATTAAGTCGAGATCATTCCCTGGTCAGAGATCTCCCCGAAAGGAAAAGCAATACCAGATCAGTCACTCAAGGCTCATCACTGCAGCGTTACCAACCAACATACATTATAGCCATTGTTCCAGTTTGGTTCTTAACCGCATTAAGATTGACTGTTCTCTAGAGCCCGCCTCCAAAATGCAATCGTCCAATTATGGCTTAGCAGCTGTAACTAGGCATAGCCTCACCGTGGAGCTTTGGACTTCTCTACATGAGGTCGTAGGAGGAGAGATAATAGATTTTTCTAACTGGCCCCGTATGCCATCAAGAGATTAAGCTAACGTTAGCAGCTCCTTCCTGCTATTAGCTATATTGTACATTGGGTTGTGTGCTGTGAGAGAGCTCAAAGCTGGACAGGCATGGCAACCATAACTAAGGGAGGCGGGACTTAGCGAACGGACAATTGCTCAGAGCAGGACGCTCTCACCTCGTTGGTGCTCAGGCCGAAGTCGTTGGCCAGGACCTGCCGGTAGCGGAACCTGCACGGGAGGTCGTCTATGATGTCCTCGTAGTCCAGTTTATAGTACTCGTCCAAGTACTGCTCGAAGCTTTTCTCCTCTGAAACACAAACAGCCTGCAGTTACATGACTGGATGTCAGAGGACCCATGAGAGTTCTGTTTTATTGGCAGGAGGTTTTTGGCGACACCTACGTGGGTCAAACACAGGCTTGTTTTTGGTGAGGGCTTCTGCGAAGTGAGACTTTTTCTTCTTTTTGCCCATCTGTGGCAAATCCTCTTTCTTCATCTTCTTCCTCTCCTTTTGCTTCTTCTTCCTGGAGGCGGTCTGCTGGTTGGGGTCGTAGTCCGCGTCCATCTGTTTCAACGGGATGACTTTTTGTCAAACAGTTTATTTTTACCAGAACATTGTCTGGCACATCTCATGCTGTCAGTTATAAAAAAAATAAGAAGGTGTACTCACAACGAAGTTGTCATCTTCGCAGTGAGGCCCAGAGGCATCATACTCGTCTTCGTCCTCCTCTCGGTCCTCCCCCGTCCATACGTCCCAGTTCCAGGGCTCTGATGCACAAACAAGCCATGAGTTACATCTCCCATCATGCATTAATGCAGTGAACTGAACATTTCTTTGCTACACAACTACTCAAATCCTCTGAATCTTCTCTGCAGGATTCCTTTCAGAGTTCGAGAAGAAACTTTGAATCTTAAGGTGACGTAGAGGCACCACCGCATTCAAATAAAACATGCAGGTTTCAACACTGTTGCATCAGCCAACATGAAGAAAACGCAGGCTTACCTTCAACTTCGTCATCGTCAAACTGAGGCTTCTCCTCCTCTTCTCCTCCGTAGTATTCATTACCGAAGAATTTCTGCAAAACAAGTCGCAGATGAGTTTAAATGTGACTAGAAAAAGGACAAATTAAGTGCGCTTTCTTGGTAAAAGACGGTGGGGGTGGTCACCTTTGGCTTAAAACCTCTAAACTGAGAGGAAGCTACATACTGACTTCCCTGAAGACAAGTCCAATCAGCCAAACACAGCACACCTGGGTGAGTGTGGCAGCCACACGTGTCTTTGTCAACCGAGTGGAGAGACAAACCAGAGACCTTCTTATTGTGAGGGAACCAGGACACACACACCTTCCTGAGAAGGCTAATTAGTTACTAATTAGTTAAACACAATGCACCCATGTGAGCTGGAAAATGGCCGCCCTCATTCAGACATTAATTGGCCCAAAACTGTGGCTCTTGTAGATTTTTTTTTTTTTACAGTGAGAACAGCTGCAGCGTGATGGTACTCAATAGTGTTTGTTTAACTCAGATTAATGGAGAATCTGCAAGTTTAAAAAAAAGAGAAAAATTAAGTTTCACTTGAGTTTGTCGGTGCTCACTCTATCATTGGAGCATCTGCTAAGCCCCGCCCCCTTAGTTACCATTGCTATGCCTGTCAAGCTGTCTGTTCTCACACAGCACACGTGTAGTTCACACTGATAATGGAGGCAGATCGACCGTTCAAAATTGTTTTATAGGCTGTAACGTTAGCTTCATGAGTTTGTAGAAAAGGCTTTTGTTTTAAAAGAACAATTCTGTAAAAGAGTTATTTGATGGTTACATACATGCTAATGCTACACGTCCCATGCAAAAAGTCCGCCTCCTCACCAGCTGATGACTGTCAACAAAACTTTTTTTCCCCCTTATATATTGAACTATAACCTGTTCAGATGATTAGCTTCAATACGTGGACATGGACGACAAGACAATAGATTCTCTTTTTGTGTGTTTTGTAAGCATGTCTCCCTTTTATTGTCAAAAAAAACATGACTTAATCCATTCCTTATTCTTTTGCTCTTGTGTTTTCAGTTTTGAGAAGGCTAAAACAAAAGACACAGACCTCAAAACTCTTTAAATACTGCCGCACACGCACCGCTTCAACATGCATAGTAATCCAAAACTTGACAGTTACGATTGCTGAGCTGTGATTGGACAATCAGTGTTAGGGGGTTTAGCTATTGGTCAATTGAGCGAGCACACAAAACCCAAGAAAAACTGAGACTGTCTTGCAAAAAAACTGTGTGTCCATGTGTTTGTAGCAGTGTGTGTGTGTTTATGCACCCACCTGCATTAGCTGGTCGTGTTGCTGTGGATCAAACTCTCCCTCCAGGTCAGTCTGACTGAAGGCGAGCTCCTCGTTGCCCGTCAGCTCCTTGAGCTTCTTCAGCTTCTCCACGATCTCGTTCCGCTTCAGGTTCTTCAGCTGCTTCAGCTGTTCCCGCTTCTGCTCTTTCTCCTGAAATAGTTGTTGGGAAAGGGAAGCAGCAGGGAGAGAGGTAGGTTCGTATTAGCTAATGAATGAAGGCATTTCATACTTGGAAGCAGAGAGAGAAAAGGTTAATACTCGAGGGATCAAGGGCGTGTTTTTTTTATATGAACGTGATTCACACCTTATCCTTCCTTTCTTTCACTTCGTCCCTTTTGAGTTTCCTGCGGTCGTCTTTGGAGCGCACAGACGTGGCGATGCTGCGGGGGTAGGTCTTGATCTGCTGAGCGTCGGGCTCTTCGAAGCGGAAGTTGTAGCTCCTCTCGAAGTCCTCCTGCCGCTTCAAGAAAGTATCCCCTTCCTCCTCCGAGTCGTCCACGTCATCCTGGACCACCTCGTCGTACGTCGGGATCCTTTAGCCGTCGGGAGAGTTTGTATGTTAGGCTTTCTTCACTTCAGAGATCACCGGGAAAATAAAGCCTGACATCCACACAGGCGGGTAACGTACCGTTCGTCATCGTTGGCGTTCTCGTCTAGGTAGCCCTTGTTGAGGACATAGTCTCTCAGGAAACGCTCCTTCTCCTCCAACTCCGGGTCATTCCAGTAGTCCCTTAAGTATTTCTGTCCCAGCACAAACCAGTCTCATTACTAAGAAAGACCAAAGTTAGCTGTCTTACATTCTCTCTGATTGTTTTCCAGACACACACTCACCATGTCCTTCACCTCCTCCGGACCCTCGAGGTCATCCTGGCCTTTCAGCCACTCCACATAGTCCGACTCCTCTTTATCCTACAGACAGACACGGGGGCAGAGAAAGGTTTTATCCTGATCTGTGGTGCTTTCGTCTCAATATCACGACGGGAAGCAACAGCTTCTGACCTTCTCCTCCTGCGTTTTGATCCTCCTGGTGAGAAACTCGGATCGTCCAGCTCCCTCGCTGGCCTCCTCCTCCTCCTCCTCCTCGTGGTCATCGTCATCGCTGTCCTGGATGAATTTACGGAAGCTGAGGAGAGGTTTTAGTTTCTGTTAATAGTCTGTTATACAGCCAGACGCCTTCAGATGGTTTGAGTCCTACCTGTCTTTCAGCTCCCGCTGCTCCTGAATGTAGCTCGGAGAGGCAGCTCTCTTTGACAGAAAACAATGATGATTAATAAAAACACTGATAAGTATCTCCACATTCCAGAAGGAACTAAATGATCAGGTGACAGGGTCTACCTCCATTCTCCTGGCGGCCTCCTCATAGTCACTGTCGTCATCATCCTCATATTTGCTGTGAAGAAAAGAAAGAAGTAAAAGATCAGAGATTATTACAGTATAAAAGATAAAAAAGGAAAATAGGATTAGCCGGCTTTATGTGTAAATAATACAAGTGATAAAGTAATCTATGTGACACATTCAAAACAATATGGATATCTCATCATATCTATCTATAAGACATTTACAATATGTTGAAAGTAAACACTGACTTTGTGGATTTAACAACAAAAAATGTGTTTAATACAAAAAGAAGACATATTCTAGTCATTAAAATACAACTATATTTATGAATGGGATCAAATCTTGCACATATGGACAGGCAGTGATTCATTTACTTTTACTTAAATTTTCAGCTGTGACAAACCCAAAGCATCAAAGTTTCAAAACTGTATTCCCCTGTAGCTGTGTAGTTGATCGGGTAGAAAGTCAGTTAAAAAACAAACACGTAATCGCTTTTCAACAAGCTCATCGTGTCTGCAGTGAAACAGTAAATGCTGGCACATCAGCAGCTCACTCACCCCTCTTTTTCCAGTATGACTTTACGCTCATAGTCCTTCAGATACATGGGCTTTACTGCCTTCTTTGAGCTCGAAGGCTTCTCATCACTGGTGGATGCAACTGAAAGAGCGAGACGTCTTGTTTAGGAAGATGTCCCGGAGACAGTGAAGGCAACACCAACGACAGCAATACTCAACATTCACCTTCCGAGTAGAACTTCGCGTCCGTCTGATAGATCTTGGGGTCTTTCTTCTTCAGCAGTGACAGTGTTCTGTAGAAGTCTCTCTCAACTTCCGGGTCCAGCTCCTGTGAGGACGAATAACAGGCAGCACTGGTCAACATATTTTAACACAGCGGCACGTTGCCGACACGCCGTTATCTGTTGCTGGAAAGAGGAGAAGCGGCGATGCTAACCACTTCACTGTCTTCGGAGCTGGACTCAGACGACTCGCTCTCATCGTCTTGGTCTCCGTATCGATCCTTCACTGAACAACAACACAGGACACACAGATATTACCTACTAATAACACGGCGTCCTAGAAACACAACTTAAAGCTAGCTGACGCTACGCTTTCCCCCACGCTGGGTTGTTAGCTTCGGTAGCTAGCGGTGACACACTTACGTCTCTGTAGCTCTTCTTTCTGTCGGTATTTATCATATTTCTGCGCGAACTGGGAGTTGATTTTCAACTCTGACTTGCCTGACATGGTTTTAATGAAGGATATAGCTTTATGTTATCACTAAAAAAACTACACTCTACTAACGGGAAGTCATTCCAGGCGCTCCACGCGCGTGTGGAAAGCTGAACCACGTGGTTTCCGGTGCACAGGTCACAGATTACACACGTTGTCCTTCAGGGGGCGCGCTAATACTGATTTCTACGAGTCAACGTTTGTTCGTGTTGTTTACCTCTTTTGCTTTTAATATGTTATTTCCTACTGTGGCAGACGGAAGCAGATCTATAGAATATGTTCTTAATTGTCTTCTTTCATTGTGGAAATAGTTTAATTTCTGACATTCACAATATTTTGGCTACTTTCTTTTCTACTTTTTATATTCGATTGAAACTCACTCTTGCTCTTAGAAACAGTAAAACAAACTGGTTCTTTAAAGTAACCTATGAGACAAATTCCCCTTCACTTTGATCTTTTTCTAATCTTTTCTTATTGTCTAAAAATGCCTATTTTTAATTATTATTTCATTTCAACTTTCTTATTGTATTTATTATAATGTTGTATTTAAAGAATACTATTGAATAATACCTAAACAAAAGAATGGTATCTATTATAACAGAAACAGGCATTGATGGAGCGATCTTCGAAAACATAAACCCACATACAGTACAGAGTTTACATTGACATGCACACTTACTCTAAAAGTTTACAAATAATCACAATTTAGACATTTTAATAAAGTCAACATAGAAATGTTACTTTTTGTTCAATTAGCAGCCAGCATGCCAGACTGTGTTTGCTTGTTTTACATCCCACAAAGGGTAAATAATATTACTGATTATTAAATTGAGTCAGCTTGCGTAATCACTGATTGGATGTTTGCTCGACATCATATCCCGTCAGAGTAGTGTGGGATGAACAAGATCCAGAACAAACCTGACATGACTGATGTGACTCAGATATGTGGCTGGTGACGACATCGATATAAACCAAAGACATCAAGAACCCCTGAGGCAGAATACAACTCGCACATTATGAAACAACAGTAAAGTACAAAACATGATTGTGACTCAGAAAGACAAAGTAGTCCATCTCATATCCCTTGTAATGTCCCTCTAATGTCCAACACTGAACCACATTATTGTCACTCCGCCACAAAGCCAGTAACCCATTTGTGTCCCACCATTATACTTTTAAAAGTTGCATATAAAGTCATTGAACAACTGACAACTTATCTTAACACAAGCATTTTTTGTTTTCAGCTATACAGAATGCAGTTTGGCTTGAGAGCAAAACACCCCACCAAAACAGGCACCTTTCACCTAATGTAGCAAACAAAATCTAGGCTTCATAACGGAGGAGTGCTGATTTGTTCTCATGCAATTTCCATCTAAACCCCTTTGGTGTTACTGTTATCTAACAGGGTGCAGTGCTTTAAAGTTGTTGATGCAGGAACATAGAATGAACAATGGGTGTACCTCAAGGATCAGTGTCAAGCCCCCTATTATTTAGCCAGTTTTATTTTATTAATGATCTTTCAGAACAGTGTCACAAATGAAAAATGTATGCAGATGACGCTGTTGTACACACATCCAAAAACAGATAAGCTAGCAGCTGTAAAGCTGTATGCTATTACATGGTGGCTTAGTTTGAGTATTGGCGAGACAAAATGTATGATTTTTTCATCAAGCACAAAACAAGTGATGTAGTTAGACAAGTTTAATAGCTTTGCGTAATCATGGATCCAAACCCGAATATATTAAATTAAATATTTCCAAAACAATGGCAAAAGCAACAAAGTGACAGAGCACGTTTGAGACAAATTAGGATAATTCAGATAAAAGAGGATAAATCATTCAATTCCATTATTTTGCAGGATTCTCCCATTCGTTTTTTTGCATGTCATTCCCCACTGCACTCTTTTAATTTCCTATAAAATAAAAGCATGAAATGACATCCCAAGCATCATGAGATTTGATCAAACTAGAGGATTTTATGAGGGGATATGATCAACTTCTCATAAGAGTGGGTGGAGAGTAAAATCTAAAACACCCTATGAGCAGCTTTGATCAAATATTATTATTGGCACAGATTTTGTCAAAAAACGTAGTCTGAGCAAAGGTCAGCGACGGACCAGCTGATGGTTTTGTTTATCAGGTGAGCAGTGACGCCGTATCCCCACACTTTGGGAGCTCACGCGTCTTAAACATCAGGTAAAAAGTCACTAGAACCTAAAAGTAAATATGCTGTAATCAGAAAGAACCGTGTTCAGAAAGCTGAATGTTACGGATTCCTCTCTGAAATGAATACGTCATGAGAAGAAAACACTCCATGACTTCTTCAGCAGTATTTTTGTTCCATTCATCTGTGATTGTAACTGGAATGATCCAGCTAGTGCGTGACCTTTGTGTTTGAATTAATGATTGATTATGAAACTTTTCTTTGAAAAACAGATATTTTCTGCGGCTGTGCAATCAAGAACAAAATGTCTCGATTACTGCTTCGACAAAGAATGTCGAAAGTCGGTGAGGAATCAGGAAATGCTCACGCTGATTGATGGTGCCCTGGACATAGCTGTATTAATAATCAGCATTTTCTCCAGAGAGTGTTCTGAGAGTCGCCATGAGCTGCTTGTTTTCTTGTCTGCATGTTTGCCCACATGTGTCACTGCATCTTTTACTATACTTTTCAGCTCAGCACTTCCACTCTTCCACAGCCTTGAACTTTGCACGTGTCATGCCTGTTGGTGGGTATGAGCACAGATCTGCAGTCACAAAGCAGCTTGTTATCCCTCTCTGCTCAGACAGCTGTTGTTGTGGCTTACTTTTAAAGCTACTGCAGAAATGGATTTCAAATGAGAAATAAAACATTGCTTTTTAAAGCTAGCCACAAGGTGGTGTGTAAACACATTACAAAATATCCATGGACATGTTTACTAAGCTTTACTACACTGTTGGCATATAAGAAGCACATCTTTTTAAAATAATTTCCAGATGAGTTGAATTATTTTGTAATTTGTTGCAAAACTATTTTATAAAACAGAGACCTTCTGCCACTCACAGTGTTGTTGCTTTTCCTTTCTGTGGGCTCACGTTGTTGGGGGATTTCTAAGAAACTCTGGTTTTGCCTTTCACTGTGACGACATGACTTTCTAGGAAGAAGGTCTCGTTTCCGTAGAACTACAAAAACACATGTGGCCCCCCTTTTAAAAAGAGTGGGAGAGAGAGAGAGAGAGAAAAAATAACACAAACCCTCACTTCACGTTTCCTGCCATGTCTACATACCAAAGATGTTGGAAGAAAACAGTGGAACATGCTGCTGTACATTATTCAAAACCTTTTATCTGCCACATACAGTAAGCTGCATTTCAGCCACACATGATAAAAAAAACAGAGAGGGAAAGTATGGCTTTGCACAATCTAGTATTAAAGGGAAAAAAGTGCCAATAATATCCAAACAGTACGGCAAAGACATTTCTGAACAATTGACAAATAGATCCCAACCATATCTCATGTAGTTTTTACTTCAGATGAGATCTGCTAAACTGAAATGGATAGAAAAAAATACTGTAGGTTCAAATAAACAACCAGTCTCTTACCCTGCACACTGTTACATTATATAAGGCAGTACTTCCCAACAACAGGTACTTGAACCCCAGAGGGTACTGCTGCAGGCATTTGTTGAGGAGATAAACGGTCACAACAGTTAGATACAAGAAATTGAAAACAGTCAAAATAGTTAGCTTAAAGTAATTGATATAAAGTTGAAATAGTTAAAGTAATTGATATAAAGTTGAAATAGTTAGCTTAAAGTAATTGATATAAAGTTGAAATAGTTAGCTTAAAGTAATTGATATAAAGTTGGAATAGTTAGCTTAAAGTAATTGATATAAAGTTGGAATAGTTAGCTTAAAGTAATTGATATAAAGTTGGAATAGTTAGCAAAAACTAATGAATAAATTGTTGAAACATCCAGCTTGTGCTCCTCCGAGTAGCCTAAAATGCCGACTTGACCAAATCAAGGTAAACGGAGAGTTTCTATTGGTATTGCATTTTGCTGTTGAATTTGGGGGAGAAGAGGAAACGTGGGGGGGAATTCACAAGAACATTTAGTTCAGTAACTCAACTGTCAACAAGTTATGCATTTATGTAACTTCAGGAATGAGTCTTCAAAAACCGAACCCAGACAGTAGTGATTCTAAAATAAATAGAAGCATTTATTTATGTACAGAAAATGTTTAAAGTTTACAACAAAGTTTAAAACATTGACATTACCAAAAAAAGCAACAACAAAAAAAACAGTTAAGAACAAATATTTACATTTATGAACACTATATTTATACACTTAATCTGCACTGTGAGTCGGTGACTGTGAAACGACACTATATACAGCTTCACTTGGGAAAGACTTCTATGAATCCATTAATTAATCCACATCACATGGTGGCTGTGACTAAGTGGAGAGCGGGGTCGTCCTTCAATCAGAGGAATCGGCGGTTCGATCCCCACTGCTAGTCGCATGTCGATGTGTCCTGGAGCGAGACACTTAACCACAGAATTGCTCCCGTAGCTGAACCTACGGTGTGAATGTAGATAGTCTGATGGGCAGGTGGCATGTACCCCTTCCCTCAGTGAATGATGACAAGTAGTGTGCAAGCGCTTTGATACAATACAATAACCTGAATGTAACACTCACACATTCCTCGATTAATGCACTGTAAACAGATGAGGATATTATACAAATCCACTGAGTTCAATAGCACCGACATGAATATGTGAACATAATATGGCATAAAAGGCACACATTTGTCAGCGATGAAGTGAAGGAGCTTAAAAAGCTGGTGAAAACTGTGTTTTTAAAACCACGATAGGGCACATGGCTTTCTTTCGTCAGGAATGCTGGAGGCAAGTTCAAGATGTGGTCCTGAGGGAGGTTGTAAATGTACACGTGCCACGGCACGGAGCATAAGACACGGCCCCACTGTAAACATGTGGTTGCAGCAAAGCCTTTTAGTCTTTCGAGGAATGCACTAGTCCCCCCCCCCAGAGGGGCATAGGGGTGGAAAATTTAACAGATGATCACAAATCAAGAGAATGCTGAAAAAGTGTTCGGAAGAACTCTCAAAACAACAAGACAGGTGCTGAGGAACGTTGTGTTGTGACCACATTGTGGTATGTGAAGTCTGAGGGCGATCACAGAGCACAGTGTAGATCAAGGCACTGACAGAGTGTGCATTCTTTGTGGCTAACAAAGAAGCATTGTCTTTAGGTCACTTTGGGTGATATTTTCGCTGTACTACTGAGGCAAAGACTGGTGTTAAAGTCAAAGTTATTGAGACTTATCAAGGTCACACTGGTTGAACTGGCTCGGAGATTTGTCGCTAGTATCAGCTGATATTCTCCTTCTGTTTGCTCAACTCTGAATCCGCTCTCGTGTTGTGTTTGTCATGTTCTAGTTTTCTTGTTCCAGACAAACAAAGAGACATTTGAGGAAATATATTTGCCTTCCCGGCAGGACAGTTCAATGAAAAGATTGATTCCGCGCTCTTAGTTTAGATTAGCTTAGCTTGGTTTAGCTTAGCATAAAGACTGGAAAAAGAGGTAAACAGCTAGCCTGGCTCTGTGCACAGCTAACAAAATCCACCTCTGAAGCTCACTAAATGCTGTTTGTTGGTCCGTACAGAAAACGAAAGAGTATAAGCAACAAGTCCTACTGCTAAGGTGAGTTAATCGCCTCCTGGCTCAAGCTTCATCATTTAAGGAGTTGTAAAAAAATGTGGGGAATACACTTATTTGCCTTCTTGTGGAGAGTTGGATAAGAAGATTGATACTACTCTCGTATCTGTTTGTTAAATCTGTGAATGAAGCCAGCTGCTGGTTAGCTTAGCTTAGCACAAAAACAAGGGTAAACAGCTAGCCTGGCTCTGTCCAAAAGTGATACAATCTGCCAACCAGCATCTCTACAGTTCCCTAATAAACATGTTATATCTCGTTTATTTATTCTGTGCAAAAAAACACCTCAGCAAAAAAGCGTAAAAACTACAATTCTCACATGCTAGCTAGCTGTTTCCCCACTGCTTACAGTCTATCAGCTAATCTAAGCCAACCATCTGCTTGTGGTAGCTTTATATTTACCACACAGATATGAGTGGCCCAAAAAAAAGCAAATAAGTCATATTTACAAGACTCGTGTGTGTACCTTACACACATTAGAGGGAATTATAAGAAATGAGCTCAGTGATGCATGAAAAACAAGACATTGTGTGTCAGTGACACAGTTCTGTAGCTGCATCATCAGAGTCACACTTACGGGATAACGGGTAAAAAAAACACATTCGATTGAGGAATCCATCAACTGCTGATTTGGTATGATTTGGTTAATGGATTGTCAACCTAATGGGGGAAAAAACTGCAACCTGAAAATAATGTTTCTCCCTGTTTGTTTCCTACTGTAGAGCGCTTGCTGTCTGTGAGGATATAGTGGTTCTGATCCTGGCTTTGACTTCCATATCTTTGTGCTGTGTGAGGTAAAAATAAAACATACAAAAAGGACATCCAAGGTAGCTTATCATTGAGGCTCTTCTTTCCACTCCGACATTTCTTCAGTTTTCTGTGAAGGTTGGATTGTCTGCCTCTTCATCCAAGCTCACAACTTGTCTCTGAAAGGACAGCAAATAAGAAGGATGTCAGATGCAACACTGTAGCCCGTTTGTGCTGATTGCAACAAAATGTACTAAATTCAAACAGGCTGAACTGTAGACTGTGAGACTGGACTCACTTTTGGGTAGGAGTAACCGTCAGGGCTGTGGCTCCTCCAAATGTGCACTTGGTCCTCGGTGGTTTTCTGATAGACAGGGTTGTCAAAGTGAATGGTGTTGGTGTTCTTCAGCCTGTAGTTCCTCCACAGCAGCACGCCACCAACAGCCACCAGGCAAACGATCGCTACATGAGGCAGATATAGGGAGAGAGGTGAGACATGACGCTCAACGCTGACTGTATTTACTGCGAGGGAGCCGCCTTCGCAGCAGCTGACAAAAGCAACTCACCCAGAGGCAATGCAATATACAGAGCTATCGGGGCAGGCGAGGCAGTGTTGGGGACAGCTGCAGCAAAGCCATGTCTGAAATCTGAGGGCGTAAACACCAGAAGAGGAGTTAATGATACACAGAGCTGACCTGCACTATACACATTCTATGTCAGAGCTGAGGGCAATGAACTCAAACATAACAAACTCTGTGAAATGGTCAATGGTCATTTAATGGTCACCATTATGGTACTTGCCTGGAGAGGTGACCGGAGCCCCCGTGGTGGTCTTGGGTATTTTAGGGTTTGCCGGCTGGGGTGACGGGGTCCTTGGTTCAGGTGTGGTGGTCCTTACAGGAGGCTTGGTGCTGCGTGGCACTGGCCTGGCCGCAGTGCTGGTGATAACTATGGGCACTGTGGTGGTACGGACCTGGGGCTTCGGTGTGGTGTGGACCTGGGGCTTAGGTGTGGTGTGGACCTGGGGCTTCGGTGTGGTGTGGACACGGGGCTTAGGTGTGGTGCTGGATGGCTCAGGTGGCTGAGGAGGGGGGTCGGTATCTGGCACTTGAGGCTGCACGGGAGCTGCAGGTGTTGGCACAGCTGGTGAACAAAAACAATGGAGGAGGAGTGAGTGCTTGAACTTAACGAAAATGTCTAATTTAATGACACAAATTAAGATTTTACATACCAGGTACACATGTCCTCATATCCCTGGCTAACATCATGTTATCTGGACAGACACAGGTGTATTTGGGGGGATGTCTACCCACTTGAGGAGCTGCCAGGCACAAGAATTCACAGCCGGATACCTGGCACCAATCCCTCCCTGCAATGGAAAAGAAGATAACAATTTTACTATAATTTAACCGCTTTACATGTCATGAAGCCATTATCAGCGATTGAGAGTGCTATCCATCTTCTCATCAAACTTTCAGCAAGAATAAGTCTATTTCACAAAACTTTGAACTCTTCCTTCAAAGCCACTGATTTGATCTCTGATACTTTCACGGTTATTTCCCAGATACAGTCTAGTGACCATTATGGGTTCGGACATCCATATATCTTGCCACTGTAACCCAAACCAGTGCAATTAAGTAGGATTAGAGCACAGGTTGACAACCAACCCAATGCAAAATTAGCCTATATAATATTTTATCATATGTCATAATGATAATAACATAATAATTATTATTTTTTCCCCAAACAATATTGTTTCCCAGTAGCAAATGCTCTGAGGCCTGGGGGTTGGGAACTTGTTGGTGAGAGGGATCTAAGCATGCAATACCTGGGTGTGTTCTGGTTTTGGTGCTTTTCCATTAAGTGATACTTACAACAGAAATTATAACGCAATCTAATTAATAATACCAGTGAATGAATAATAAACATTACTGCAGGTGTTTCGACACCAATGTTATACAGCTGTGGCCAGGGACGAACCTCCGTCACATTGGCAGCAAATGACAATGTTCGGCCAAAATTCAATATTCAATAAATATTCAACAATGATCTGATATGTGAACACATTCCTGAACAGTGTGTGGGCAGTGGTGTCTCTTACCAGCGGGTTGTTTGAGGTTATGGTAGAGAATAATGTCATCCGGTGATGAGAGGTGCTCTGCCACTGGTGTGATGTCATCACCCGTCAGCCTGTTCGCACTGAAGATGGCATTGTTACTGGCGTCTGTCCAGAACACTCTCTCCTAAAAGAAATTTAAAAAACAAAACAAAGCTTGAGCATTTTAAGAGACTACGGGGACGGAGTAGTAGTGGTGAGGCTCCGGGTTTGTGTGTTACAGAGTTTATCGGGTGGTAAACGTCTACCTCAAACAAAGTGAGGCTCAGTGGGTGAGCCAGCTTGTGTTCGTCGATGATGAGGGTGCGTCGGCCACCGCCCTGCGCGTCGATACTGGAGAGGGTGTGCAGCTTAGAGTCCACCCAGTAGAGCCGCTGGTTCAACAGGTCTGGGGGAGGAAGCAGGCAGGGGGGAGGGGGGTCAACCGGTCAGACCACTGTTATTCATGTGAATAGTTTAAAAAAAAAAACTTGCAACCGGAGGCTTTACCAAGTGTAATTCCATTTGGCCACTCAATGTTGTCAGTGACCAGAGCGGTGCGGTCTACTCCGTTAAGACCCGCCTTCTCAATCTTAGCGGGATTCCCCCAGTCAGTCCAGTACATGAAGCTGGGAGGACATGTTGCAAATGAAACGTTGTGAGTCAAAATGCAGCCATAAATACATAAATTAAGTCCGTACAAAGCATGGGAAAAAGAGAGTCTAGGAAGGATTTAGGCATTACTGAACTTTCTATTAGTGCTATTAGACTTACTTGCTGTGGGAGTCGAGCACAATAGCGCGAGGTTTGGACAAGTCTTGGTGGAAGAGAGTCTTGCGGCGGCCGCCGTCAGCAGTTACGACGGAGATGGTGCTGCGAATGCTGTCGGTCCAGTACAGGTTACCGTGGATCCAGTCGAAAGCGATGCCTTCCGGAGCCTCAATGTCGCTGCCGATCACCACGCTGTGCTGAGCGGGGTCTTCGGCCGAGTCCACCGGAGCTCTGGAATGACAGTGGAGAGCTGGCGTCAAGCCGGAGCAGAGGACACAGAAACGCTACCTTCATTCTGGTGTCATTGTCGCGCACCTGTAGATCTTCTTCTGGGAGATGTCCGACCAGTAGATCTCTTTGGCGGCCATGTTCATGTCCAGAGCCACAGCGTTCTTTAGACGTGGGATTACTCTGGTGTACTCACTTTTGTCCAAAGTCATCTTTCTGACTTCATGGCGGTTGGTGAAGTAAAGGTAGGCTATTGTACCTACAAAAGGTGACAGGTGATTTGTTAGTCATTTCATGGAAATGTTTTCAACTGCTAACAGCTGATAGCTAACACCATCAAGGGAACCATCTTGTTTCATCATTTCTAGGCTCTACAGATCTGAGACGTGCCCCTGTTAGTCGAGCACCATGGAAGCTTAGAGCTTGGCTCCTAGCAATGCCGGGTCTCAAATGTCAGTCAACCTTTGCCGCGGGAAACACCCACTCTGAGGCCTAAAGCTAAGACACTACGACCACAAATAGGGGTCCATAATTGGTTCATCCTCTTTTGAAAAATGATTTATTTCATTCTGCTACAGTGGAGAATAATCCACACTATGAACATATTATCTTCATGCACGTAAGGCTATTCATGTAACGAACACTGTTGAAAGAACACTGAGCGCTGATATTCACCGATGGCCTTGCAGGCTTTGGTTGCTGGGTCGACTTGGTAACCCTCCTCGCACTGGCATTTGTAACTGCCGATCTGGTTGATGCAAATCTGGCTGCAGGTGTCAGGGTTGGCGCACTCGTCGATATCTGGATTCAAAGAAGAGGGGGAACATTTTTTTAAACAACAAAAAAAAGGATGCTGAATCATTGTGTCCGTAAGAATTATGGGATCCCTCTTGATCTGGCAGCACAGACGGTGACATGGAAAAGGTTGTGTCAGAGTAACCTCCATCAACATCTAGCAACATCCTAATCTAACCGAAGTGTGGACATAAATCAAGTGACTATTTATTTTTTGTTTGGCAGGGTATTACCTTCACAGTGCTTTTTCTCAAGCAGACGATACCCAGCGGGACACAGGCACTCGTAGCCGATCTTCAGGTCATTGCAAATATGAGAGCAGCCGCCGTTGTTGTACAGGCACTCGTTGGAGCCTGCAGGGGACAACATGACAAATCATTATTTTCTGATGCTGCAGACACCCTCATTAAATACATAAAAGTAGTAATTAAACTGAGAGTGTTGGATGAGAGGCCTCTGTACTCACCACAATCCCTAAGAGGCTCATCTGACCAATCCCTGCAATCACGCTGCCTGTCACACACCTTCTCCATGCTTATGCATTCCCCACTGCGGCACTTGAACCTGCTCGGGCCATCACAGTGGGTCGCTGTGGAACAAAAGATTCAGTTATACAGACCACACAGACTAGAGGTTTTGCGTTCGGCTGCTGGGCAGCCAGGATCAGAAGGGTGAGGGAGGAGATTGGTACCATTGACGCAGCCCGTTTCGTCGCTCATGTCCAGGCAGTCGTACTGATGGTTGCACTGGTGGCTGCCGTGGATGCAAGTGCCATCGCCGCATTCGAACTCATCGGGGCGGCAGGTGGAATGTACTGGAGAGCAAAAGGCCGACATGTGAGCACAAGAGGCGATGACTCGAAAAGCAACAGCCAAGAGGAGGAGACGAATCCGCACGCTTACCACAGTCGGCTTCGTCTGATCGATCGGAGCAGTCGGCTCCACCGTCGCACTTCCAGCTGCTGTGGATGCACTCCCCACTGCCGCTGCATCGGAACTCCAGGGATGAGCACTCATGAGCGGGAGCAGAGTCGGGCGCCGTCGTGCCGCAGTTCTGGGGCCACTCGTCGGAGCCATCGGAGCAGTCGGTATCACCGTCGCAGGCCCACAGGCGGGGTACGCAGACGCTGTTGTTGCACTGGAAGGACGCAGCACTGCACGTGACGGGCGGGCAGGAGGCCTCGTCGCTGCCGTCGTCGCAGTCCGTCTCGTCATCGCACACGAAGGAGGACGACACGCACTGGCCACTCCCGCAGCGGAACTCGCCGTCCGTGCACCGCTTCTGTGCTGAGGGAGTGAGGAGACACAACAGGGCGTGGGAAATCACTTCAGAGCAGGATAGGAAGGAAGTGGAAGGAAATGATGAAGGCTCTGGATTCCAGAGCGCAATAGAAGAAGACAAAGCACATATGATTAAGGAAGCAGAAAGACAGCCTGTAGTTAACTCGGCTTACCACAGCTCTCTTCATCAGCTCCATTCTCGCAGTCAGATTTTCCATCACAGCGCCAGGTGCTCGGTATGCACTGGTTCAGGCGATCCGCGCAGCTGAACTCTGTCGGCCTACACGTTTTGGCCACTGGAAGTGACATACGCAGAAAAGGTTAACTGAAGACTATGCAATCGTCACACTGAGGGATTGAAAGGTACGCAAAGCGATCACAAGTCCATCCTCGCGTCGTGATACTCACTGCAGGTACCAGGAAGTTCATCGGTGCCGTCTCCGCAGTCGTCTGTGCCGTCACACACCCATCTGACCGTGATGCATTTCCCGTTCCCACACTGGAACTGGTTGGTTCCACATGTTGCCCATGCGTCTACGACAGACAGATATAAACACACAGCTCAGCTAAAAGGGCCAATGTTTTAGTTATCATCTATCAGGGGCCAATACAGGAAGACTCCACACAAACAAAGACGTGGCTGCAAATTAAATCACGTGGAATAATACTTCTGCATAACGCTATTGAACAAGACTATGAGTCTAACATTTGCTACTTAGAACTAACCCATGCACTGTTTATAAGACTAAACAAAGTACAGCTGAGGCTGATGGGAATTTGGGTCATTGTCGTTATACTCTGGCATGACACACACAGGTGCCTGTTGGTACTTGTGTAACTAGGGCAGATGAATGGTTAAACCGCGAGTCAAACAAGGACACTCTATTCGTAAGCCTGCATTTATCAGCATTTATCAGGGCGCTGCCGATATGCCAAGTAATACACAATAGAAATCTCATTTTCCAGTCTGCTGGTTAGAAAACACCTCCTTAGGAGTGAATTTGAACACTGAAGACATAGAGTGGCCCTCCCAACCCCCTATCTTCTATGGACCAGATGAAGCCACTGAACCAGAAGGAGCGATTAATTAGACTGTACATCAGAGAGACAGCGCGTCATGAAAAGGTACTCGGGCCATTTCTACCCCTCTGGCCCCTGGGGGTGGCTCCAAACCCCTGAATGGCCACCTGTTTCTGAAATCGGGCGGAGGGAGGTGTTTACCGGCAGCAGCACACACCAGCAGCACCTGGGCATTTAGCAGCCATCAGAGTAGATTTTTCTTTTAAATTCGAATTACGTATTTACATTTTCATAAGTCAGTGCCCTATAAGATTGGTTGGGGGAGAAGACAAATCATGAATCATGCATGGCCATGAATGGCTGACAGCACAATAAATCTTAGCAGCTTTCCAGTGAAGTCAAACATGTGGTGCCATCGGTCATAGTTGATGCTTTATTTAAACAAGGAGAGGCTTTATTTCTTCCACTAAAGCTTGAGGAAATGTTGTAGTATTTTTATATGACTCCAAATGACTTTGGACGGTCGGATTACAGCGGCTGTGAAGTAAATCTACTACTAGCTGTTAAGCCAATCATGTCTTTATGGCTCCTTGTGAAAGGGCTTCGCCATAAAGATAGTCGTCGGTTTCACATTGACAAACCTGGTCTTATCACAGGGATATCCTTGTGGGTAAAACAATAGAAAACACTCGAAAGGTTTAACTCTCAGCTCTTTTTCCCTGAACGGTGAAGCTTTTTACTTTATAGATAAGCCCGCTTATCCCGAAACCGATGACACGTCACCCAGACCCAAGTTCACGTTGGTTGTTTACTTAAAATGTTCAGTAGAGGTCAGTCCTTGATTCGTTATTGATTGAGTCCAAATCCACGCTGGGTGAAACAACAAATGTGCCCAGTTTGCGTGTTTTATTGATTGGACATGACGTGATTGGCAGAAAGAGCGACAGGAAACTGCTCATACTAAATAATTTTGGAGCAATATCTCGCGGCCAGAAAGTTGACCCCCCACCACCATTGGAGCGAGATTAAAACCATTAACAGAAATAAGGGATCATTTTGAATTTTTCCTCAAATAAAGTAATGTCTTTTCCAAAAAGCGTGTGGGAGGCCAACTATTTGCCAACACGGGGGACAGGACACGTTCCAGTTCCAACATGTCTCACCATTTTCCCAGAACCGACACACATGGGGAAACAGGTCTGACGGTGACTTCACATCGGCTCAGGCCTGCAACCAAAAGTGGAGGAATGCTGGCGGAAGACAATGTTTGCATTGGAGGATGAGTTGGATGGCTTCCCATTCGTTTCAACCAGGGCGTTTAAGGTGAAGCACAATGGGAGACAGAGCCTCGTGCAAACAGGCTGGATTATTGCATCATGTAGGGGTAATAATGCTGGTAAAAAAAAATGTTCCCATGATGCTTCTTTTTTTTTTTACAGTGATTAAAATGCAAGCTGCGCCAAATCCCACATTATGAATGGCAACAGCTTCCAAACAACTGGCTTTTCAGAAACCCTGCTTGACATCTACACACACAGACAGTCTTCACACTGCTCGAACCTCATTGGCTGCAGGAACCTGCTGCGAGTTGAGCGCCACTGAATGAAAGGCACAACAACAAAAAACATGCAGCTTCATTCAAAAGCCGGCGAGGATCAAATAAATGAAAAAATATATAAAATATACAACTGTAAGTCATCTAAAAAAAATAAAAATAAAAAATCATGACGACTAATAGATAGAGGATTTTAAATTATAGGAAAATACGAGGCCGAGGTCGGGTGAAACATTCATAGTTGGAGCGGAGAGATTTGACCTACATTCTGTGAATATTTGCGTCTCCCCCCCCATCACCTTGCACGAGGTGCTGTCAGAGGAGTGGGCATTTTAAACACACACGGACTATTTTTTTTTTACATGTGTTTCAGGCAAAAAAAAATACAACTATAAATGCTGAAGTTAAAAACATTAAACTTACTTGTCTGAACAAGGGAGCAGAGGAGAAACAATAACAGTGGCATGTTTTCCAGCCGCACTGGAAGACGCTTCTACACCTGACGCCTGCTGGCTGTCTCCGGAGAGTTATTGTAACGCGGTCAGGGATGTGGAGTGCTGTTTGGACACCGGTGGAGATACAAAAAAAAAAAAAAAAAAAAAAAAAAAAAAGAAAAGGCTCTCGTCGTCGCCTCCTGCTGTAATTTAGAGATGCTCGCGCTGGAAGATCAGGGGAGGGATGCTCAGGCACACTGTTCTGTTTGACAATAACTTCGGAGCCATTTCAATGTGGTCCATCGGTGGGCGGGGCCAAGCGGGGGGCCCCGGGGATGGGAAGGAGGGTCGGGGGAAGGCGGGGTCCGGAGTGGTGTGATTTCTGGGGCAAACAGCCAGAACAATCGGAAGGCGGGGCCTCTGCGGAGAAGGATTTACTATGAAGTTTAACCCTTTCCTGGAGGCACCCGGGGGGGGGGACGCCACGCGCGCACATGTTTGGAGGCTGGAGACGTTACATAAGTATCATTCCCTGAAGGCTAGCCAACCACACCGCTATACATACAGGGGCGGGGGGCCAGGGGTTTAGGAGACCTGGATGAGTGTTTGTCCGGGCTCAATCAAGATCAAGATGATTTTGAGAACGAAGTCGAACTATTCTGAGAGAAAATGAGAGAGTAAAGTCGAAAATTTGCTGTAGAAATATATATATTATATATCAGCTTTTATGTGGGGGATGTGATGACCTGAAGTTAGACCAATAAGAACCGTATTACTAAAGATTTTACGGATTTTACCTTTGGAAGAGCAGCGGGAAAGTACTATACTATCAGGAACACGGAAGGAAATATTGTGTGAGTATAGGAAGAGAAAATAAATTATAATAATTACAAATAAATAAAAATAATGATGGGTCTTTTTCTCTCATAATACTATGAGCTAATTCACATGATATAATGATATCATAATATTACAACTCGTTTATTAAAACATGATGACTTTTTCCTAGCAACCATTTGACTTTTTGTCAAAAAGAAAAGAAAACAGCTTTTTCTTAATCTATTTTGTTTTTCTTGGCACCCCCCGAGCCCCCGCCAAGTAAATAAGATGTTCCCAATAAACTGGTTTGAAGTCCAGTAGTTGTCCCCAGATGTGTCCTGGGACAGTCCATCAGCGTGCCAACTCGTTCAATATGTAAATAATAGCAAACAACCCGGTCAACACAAAGCGGTGGCCCCGTTCGTAAGAAGATAATTGACTTATTCTTATCTTTGTGTAATTCTTTATGTAATACCTTTAAAATCAACTAACAAACAAAAGGTGTACCGGTGAGTGAAAACTTTCTAATACGATACTAACAACAGCCCATAAAGTCATTAGCGCAGCTTTTATCTTCATATCACCAACTTCCGGAATTGAGGTTAGTGACCTCTCATAAAAAGAATTTAAAAAAATAAAAACACATGTTATTTCAGGTTCAAAGTCTCAAACTCTGCCGGTTCCATAAGATAGTTTACAGTGAGGTTTGCATCAGAGGAGGAGATAAAGTACAAACAGCCTTGAACCAAGCACAGAGCGCCATATAGTTCAAGAATACGCCTGTGAGTAGTTAGTGATCGGACACAGATCAATAATAATCCAGATGTTTCTTTTGAGGAAAACAATGGAAGAGGCGCTTGACAGTCAACGCTGTTGAAATAAAGCACTTTAGGGGAAATATGATGTTGGTCACAGTGTGTCGACCCTGTTACTATCACAGGAAGGGATATACATTCCTTTAGTGTTGAGCAGGTCCAGTGTATCATGCGCGACCTTCAGTGTCCAACGTGCACAGAAACTATTAAAGTTGTAAAGACAGTATGTGTGCTGCTCTGAGCACGTGAGACATCCTCACGTTGGTCTGTCAGCGGTGCGTCTCCCTTCACCTCGGAGCTGAAGATCTACGTCACAGAGGCTGCTGACGGACATCAAGGATCAAGGCCGAGTACCCAGGTGCTGAAAATGTACTGAATGAGCAAACGCGGATGTATACAAAGCAAAAGTGCTGATTCTGCAGAAAAGCTACGAGAAATGTTGTGTTTTTTTGGTCATGACACCACAGCAATGTATTGTATCATCACGTGTTTCTTGTGTAACATTTCCACCTGCTGCAAGTCTGTCACATATAGGTAGTGGGGTACAATCTACAATGTTTCATAGATGTGGAAAGTAACAAAGTACATTTATTCAAGAGCTGTACTTAAGTACAAACTTGAGGTACTTTACTTTGTACTTCAACAGAAGGAAACATTGTAACTTTTATTGCACATCAGAGGTAGCCAACACGGTGCCAGCGGGCACCCTGTCGCCCGCAGGGACCACGTGAGTCGCCCGCAAGGCATGTTCTAAAAATAGCACTAGTCACCATGGAGCTCCGTCTAAAATTGTAGTTGCTGTTCTTTTTTAATCAAAAACGCTTGCATTAGTGTAGATTTTAAAATGACAATATTTCTTGTCATAAGAAAGTTGGGTACCCGGAGGCGCACGGCGGACAGCCAGGACGAGGCCTCCGCACCGCACTAGGTTTTCAGGTTCCGAATGGCGGGCGCTTCCCGTTAGCGCCAGACGCGCACCGCGAGCGAACCCCGTCGTCAGGTCCGTAAATCCTCGGAACAGGCCGCGGGGCAATCCGAGCGAAAAGGCCCAGACTAGAGGTTTGAACGCGGGCGCCCGAAGACGCTCGCGCGCCTCGGAGGGTTGGATCCCCCGCTCGGCTATAGACGAGACTGGTTACTAGTTTCTTCGTGGAGAAAAAGGTACCGTTGGAAAAGCTGGTGTCGGTGACAACAGACAGGACTCCCGCGATGACGGGCCGGCAACATTACTGATCCAATAATATAACACTGAGGTGGTGCATGATGAATACTTGTGTGTGATACTTTAAGTACTTTTAGATGGCAATACGTCGGCTCTTTTACTGATATTGGAGCGTTTTCCACATGATGATGTGCGTTTTCTTGATGATGTTTCCTTCTGAAATCTAGTAAAGTATTAAGTATAGAAAGACGTAAATACTGAAGTACAACTACCTCTAATCTGCATCTCGGTACTGTATTTGAGTAAATGCACTTTGTTACTTCCCAACACTGGTGCACACATTGACCTCCCATGGACTCAATGTTGCTGTTACATTGATGAACACCAGAACCATGCGCTGTACAAGACACATTTTCCGTCCAATGTTCGGCCTCTCAGAGGGCGAGCCCGCCCACCTCCAGGCCCACAGTACTGCACATCGGGCTGCAATTTAATAAGATGTGACAAGGAATTTTCAGGCCTCTGCTAAAACTGGGTCCTTTGGGTGACCGACTGTGACACAGGAAAGGTTTTCAAAACTGTGCCGGAGTTAACCTCTAACTTCCCGATGAGATGTTGGCGGTTTGTTGTCCACATTCTCCTCTCTTTCATGCCCGATTGAAAACAGAGCAAGGTAGAAACTCCTGATGTTTCCCTTGATAAAGAAACAAAAGTACATGCGAGGTAAAGCTCCTCTCACACCCCTCCACTATAACTCTCCCTCTCTTTCATCATGCACAGTCTCAACCTCCTCACCTCAGCGTTCTGTCGGGTGAGAGGGGAAGAGAGTTTTGTTTCTATGGTAGAATCAAAGCACAAAAAGAGATTTTGGGGCTGAAATTTAATATTTCAGACATTACTTTTGTGTTTAGCTATCAATCATCCCCATGGAAATGCCACTGGCCAGCTGGGGGACACATTTCAACTGTGGCCCCTGGATAGGGAATGTTGCTCCTAAGAAATCGGCTTCATCAACTTGGCCCTGGAAAGGAAGATAAGACTTACACTGTGATGCAAGGGGATGACAACAATAAAAGGCTGTGAGGGGAAAGTTGTTGAAAAGCCTCCTGTCTTTCTTACTTCTATTACTTTTCAGAAGGACAAGTCAGGTTTATTTCAGATTCAGCGAAAATATCCCGGCTCCTAATCTTTTATGTTATATAGAAAAAGATCTAAACAGAGGATATTCATAGTGGAAACAGCCAATGAATCTTGGCTTAATGACAACTGTACAAACACATATTCACACGGAAAAATGAGTCTGCTGGGGGAGTCATGCTGGGATAACTGTTCCTCTAAAACTCAGCCGAGGCAGGAGAAGTCACTCACACGGCAAAATCATAGCAGATAAACCTTCATGTTTGTTCAGGTGCTGAAACAATCATGCAAAGAGGAGGAGGATCAGAGAGTGTGTGTGTGTGTGTGTGAGGGTCAAGATGTAACCTGTGAGGAGTGAGGACGGAGTTGGGAAACTAAGATCAGATCCTGGGTGAAAGTTACCCCTGGAGATGCAGTTCCGCTGTTCTTCTGTAATTGTCATGCAGAGTTGTTTGGAATCTGCAGCCTCGCTGCTGGATGCCATTACATCTTAAAAAGCAGATACATTGTGAAATAGATCAATGGTTGAACATGTCAGCTAAATTGAATAGCTGAAATAGTTAGCTAAAATAAGCTAATGGTTTAAATAATTAAATTTGATTTATTTGTACGGCCAAATTTGCCTCAGAGGGCTTGGAAAAGAAAGAACTCACTGAAAAGCCTTTTAATGGAAAAATTATATAAAAAACAAGTAATAATAGAATAGAAAAAGTATTACCACTAATAGCAGCAGTGGAAATAGATGTTAGCTAAAAGTAATGCATAAACAGTTAAAATAGTTAGCTAAAAGTAGCTAGTGGATAAATTGTTGGAATTGATAACGTTAGCAAAATATGATGTATAGGCCTCTACGCTAGTTAGCTAAAAGTAATAGATTTAGGGTTGAAACAGTTAACTTACCTAAAGTAACAATAATGCATACATGGTTAAAATAGTTTACTAATAACCACAGCAGTGTAAATAAATATTAGCTAAAATTAATGCATAAACAGTTAAAATAGTTAGCTAAAAGTAGCTAGTGGATAAATTGTTGGAATAGATAACGTTATCTTAAAGTAATGTGAAGGCCTCTAAAGTATTTTGCTTAAAAGTAATCGATTTGGTGGTGGAAGCAGTTAGCTAAAAGTAACATTGTATAAATGGTTGAAACACTAAACTAGCATTAAAAGGTAATAGATGCCCTGTTCAAACAGAGAAACAACTAGCCTGCGTGTAGTATAGAGGAGAACTTTACCAAAACATATACAGTTCAGGTTTATGACTGAATAAAATAAAAAAAATGTATAGTGAATACTGCATT